TCCAAATTATAGCATGAGGAAAGCTGACTTTCTGGCCAATCCCAAATCCTTTCCTTCATCTGGACAGGAATTAAGAGAGCTGGGTTTTTCCACTGATTACTTTATCCTCCTGTAAGAAGTTAGCACCCACCCCTCTGCTAGAAAAAATGAAATATCCTGGGAAATATTGAAAAGGCAGAATATTATATTTCCCTGGATAAGAAATGGAGAAACATGTTTTTAGGCAGGAAACAAACTCACTCTTAGTAGCCCCCACTTTCCTTAATGGGCCGTTTAAAAAGTCTGGGTCAGGCTATTTTACATAATAAAGATCTCCCCCTTTCAGCTCCAGGACGATGTGATTAAGGCATGATAGTGCAGTTATGAGTAAAAGTCTTGCACACTTTATGGTTTACGGTTTATGATAGGCCATTTTTTGGATAGGCCATTTATTTTATGATATTTTATGCTAACTGCTATGCAAAAATTGTTATATTTAAATAGATACTGGTGGCTTTTAAGTGAAAAGCATAAGCTTTTTGCAATTTGCTGCTGTTTGATGGGGATTGTGAATTTTCTTGCATGCTTACAATGCATGCTTACCATGACTTTGAAAACAGATTAACTAATGCATACCCAGTGGCATACATGTTGCAATTGCTAAGGCCAGTGCTAATGTTTTGTTAACATTTTTATTGTTTGTGGCCCTGAAAAGGACCGTTTAGGTAACCAAACATGGCCAGCCCTTATTGCTTATCACCAGGCAGCATCTCTTCAGCATAGACTGTATAAGCCTTTGCACGTGATCTTTGGTGACAATGTGGTGCCAGGCTGCAATAATGGATTCAATCAGCTCCTGCTTGGTCTTTGGATGCTTCTTGCTTATTTCATAACCAATCTTGACCCACAAGTTCTCAATTGGGTTCAAATCCAGGCTCTGAGCTGGCCAACCCAGCAGTTGAACACCATGCCTTTTCATCCACTACTGGATGGAAGTAAAAGTACTTCCAAACAAATTGCTGAGCTGAAGGAAACATGGTCTTTTCCAGGACTTCAACATACTGCTTGGAATTCATGGTTCCCTGCACAATTTATATCCGACCAATACCAGAAGCAGCGATACAGCCCCAGATCATCATGTGCAATGGATGCTCCACAGATAGATTTGGGCAGTACGGCTTAAATTCTTCAGCTGGAAATTTTCTGACATACTTATTGCACTGATTCCCAGTCAAGTAGAAATTGCTCTCATCACTGAAGATGACTTTGGCCCACTGTTCGTTGGCCACTTGGCTTACTTCTTGGCCCATGCACGTCGATGAGAGCACTGAGCATCTGTGATCAAAGGTTTACTTTGAACCCTGTAGCCTTTGAGTCCTGTGGCAAGCAGTCTGTGATGCACTTTTACATTTTTTTTTCTTTTCATGATGGCAGGCAAGAGCAGAGTTGAAATCTTCTCTGAAACAGCTGGAAAAGGTACGTGTGTGGGTCAGAGGGAGAGGGAGGAATTCAAACTTCATCCTCAAGTGTAGAGCCCACTTGAGATATAGAGAATTTCCTGTCAGGAAATTTAGAGAACTGCACCCTGTCAACCTAAATCCTATTCC